TTCAGGCTTGAGTACAATATGAAGCTCCTTGTCAATGGGAAATGGGATGCTAGTGGTTTATAACATGCAGTGGGATAAATAACAAGCATTACCTTTGGTCAATGGTGATGAAGAGCCAACTGCAAATACGTACCCTAAGAACCCAAGTGGCTGCTGACTTAATGGAAGCTGTTCTCTACTCCACTGCCAAGTATGTCAGAGCAGCGACAGGGAAGAAAGCACACTAAAGCCAGGAAGAGAAATCCTTCCTCCTGCAGTGTCTCTCCCTTTCTGATAAAACTGAGCATTGCATCAGCCGGCAAATAATAAATATTAATAAAATCCTGTTCTAGCATTACACATGCACATGCTGAGAGAGCCTGGAGAGCTGAGAAGCAAGAGACTGATCAGTGGCACACCTTGGAAAAAGAGGAATGGAGTAAAAGAAAGATGAGGAATGGTGTGAAAGCGGCCACGGGCGGTGCGCCTGCCTGTGCTAGAATGTGCTATGTACTCCACATGTACGCTTCTCAGTTAATCTCACAAGAATGCTATGAGGTAATTTTCCCCTGTTTCCCACTTAAATTCCAACAGTACAGAAAAAAATATGAAAACTCTTATCAATATCAAAAACCAAGACTGACAGCTGGAATCTGTGAAGATTTCCTCCTGATTTCAAAATGTATTGGGAGTTGAACTGAGAAACATTATTGGAAGCCAAAGCATGCATTTTTTTTTTCCTGGGGAAAAAAAATGCAAATAAGGAATAAAGCCATGCTAAAAGGAGAGAGGGAAAGGGTCATTCTTTCTTCATTCTCTGGCTTCTCTTGAGACCGGCCAACTGGTCACAGGTCTGTGTTTTATCCTTTAGTCCTCATCAGTACCACCCTTTCATTACTGACTCCAAGACTTTAGGTCAGGAAGTATGAGGTTCTTGATCCAGTGGGGTGGGAGAGAGTGGGGGGTGAGGGAGAACCACTGGCAAAGGCCGTGGAATCCTAGAAGATAAATGTTCCAAAGGTAAAAATACTACAGGGTCCTAAAGATACTAGAAGCTTGAGGGCCATGAAATAAACTTTCAGAATAAACAGTACCATGTAGCAATATGCCTTGGGTTCACTGGCAACGACAATAGCAAAATGTTAAAAATAAATGAAAGGCAAGTATTTACCAAATAAATATAAACAGAAGGAAAGCAGGGATGGAAATTTAAATTCCAGACAAGGTAGAATAGAAGGCCAAAAGCATTTAATGGAGCAAAAGGGTTGGCACAAGTTTTGATTCTAATGAAGATAAAAGAGTCTCAAGCAGTTATGCACCTAATTCTGTAACATCAAATTATAAAAAGGCAGAACTCTTTGAAATACAAAGAAAAGTTACGGAAGCCCAGTTGTTTGGGAGATGACAGTGCAACCTGTTACAGAGAGGATGGATAGGAACATCAATAAGAAAGCGTAAATGTTGAAAAGACAGGAGTGGCCGGAAGTTTCAACCATTGTAATCAGCCCATGCCTGGGAGGAGATGATGTTCATCCTCAGAAGATTCAATGCTGGTAGATCTGATGCATCTGTCACCCAGTAGGGGGAGAGAAGTTACGATCAATGTTTCCATTACAGTATGCTCTTGTAACTAGAAGAACAAAATTGCGTTGTAGAAGAAACCACACACCCATCACCAATTCTTGCCAACTATTAGTAAATTCTTCTAGACTTGACTGTGTGAATTTCCAAAGTAGATAAGAGTCCTGATTATCTGGAAGCTAATCCACTCAATTAGGCAAAGTAATCTATCAGTGCCTGGAGTGTATCTTGGACACACTCCAAATCCCATTGCATTAATCACAGAAGTGGTTCCCACTTCCCCAAGCCAAAGCCCTCAACACAATCCTGGCATGGCTGGGGGTCTGCCTGATTGTCCAGCTCATGGGATGCTGTGGCAGGTTATGCAGGACCTTTCCCTAAATGGCTAGAGCTAGAGAGCAGGAGTGAACTGAGCTCTAACTGAGTACCAGTGGCCCGAACCAGGAACACTAAACTTGGTTTTCAAGGCTAATGGTTCATAATCAGTAGACTAAGCCAAAAGGGTCATAAACTGGTAGCCATCATAGCTGAACAAGAAACAAGATAGAGAGAGAGATCAAACTAAAGGTCCAAGGTAAGGATCATAAACATCACTGCAGAGCCAGACAGGTTTATTGGCCTTCAGCTGAGATTCTGTTGGGCTGGTTTAAAGATGCAGAGTTGTAGGAGGGACAGACCATTGGTCATTAATGGTTAAATACAGAATGGATAATACATCCTCTACTGCCAGGCATCTGTCAGCTCTCCATTGCCCATTTTAGTATTAACGGAATTCAGGTCATAAGGAGTAAGAATGAGGCAGCCAGGAATCCCTCTCGCTATGCCCAGAATTTGAGGGTTTCATATTATGATCTATCCACATCTACAACTGGGATTGATAGAAAGATAAAAAAAAAAAAACTTCTATTTTTTGAGAGTACACGAGAGCAGAGATTTTAAATCTGTTCACAAAGAACATATATGAAATCTATTAGGTTTGCTGTGTATCAAAATTTACTATATTGTACTGATTTGCTGGCTGAGAAGGGAAGCCAATTTGCATGGCTCCTGTCAGTCACATGTGGTTTGGAAATGCTTGTGCATTCCAGATACACTCTGTGTAAACTGGAGAATCATATCCTATTTCTACTGGTTTGCATGCATGCATATAAAACTTGTTTTTCCCACAGTGCCAAATGAAAATAAGTGAACGAGCAGCAGTGATCACAATTGATCAACTTTGTCAGAACTTCACAGCTGTGATGGTGAGGGGAATTCTTGTCCCTCAGGTCTAGAGAGGCTACGACTTCTACTTTTTCTGGTTTTCTTAATCAGTTCTGTTTCATCCAGCATTCAGAGATAAAGTCTGTTACTAACATTCAATGCATTTTCTGACACCTACTATGTGCCAGGCCCTCTGCTAGGTACTAAAAGATACCACATGGAATTTCCACTAGAGAAAGCTCAGAGCTTAGTGGAAAGAAACAACAAGTAAACAAACAGTTACCACCCAATGCAATAGCTGTTTCTGCAGCGTGTGGGTTAGGTACAATGCCCTATGGAAACAGGCAAGGAGTATGCCAAGATTTTATAGAAGAAGGTGAATCCTGATGGTGAAGTGTGAGTTGAAGCAAAAAAGAGCTGGAAGGCATTCAAAAAAGTAGGAACATAATGTGCAAAGACATGAAACTCATCAAGAACACATGTTTCAGGGACCTGAAAGAAGTCTGTATGGCTCGAGGCCAGAGGTAGAGCCAGCAGAGAAAAATCATTTGAGAAAACCTAAGAGAGAGGCAATAATTCTAGTAAACAATGTTATTTTAATAGTCCACATTCCTGTGTTAATATTTGAAGATGTTTGCTCAATAAGAATACTTAAGAGTTGCAGACAAATTAACTCATGTTACAATGTCCAACATCCAGACTCTATTCCTTATTGCTTTTCTCTTTCTAGCATTTACAACACCTGACACACAGTGAGTTCCCAATTAACAAACTATTATTATTGTATGTGGTGGATGGCCTCTAACATGGCCTCTAAGGATGCATGCCCTCGTGCAAACACTTCCCCTTGAGTTGGGCTGGACTTATTGACTCATATCTAATGAAAAGAATTTGCCAAAAGTAATGGATTGTCACTTCCAACATTATGTTATAAAAAGGCTGTAACTTTTTTATGGTCTCCTATAGCTTTTGAGTGGTCTCCTATGTACTCACCCTCTCTGGCTCTTTTTCTCTCTTGGATCATTAGCTGCTGTATCATTGGATGCTCGGGCAGCTTATGGAGAAGCCCATGTGGTAAGGAACCGAACCATGTCTATGTGAGCACGCCTATTGCTAGTACCAGTATGAGTGAACCTGGATGCAGATCTTCTGAGGCCTGCCAACCACCACATGGGTGAGCTTGAAAGTGAAATTTCCAGCTCCACTTGAGCCTTCATTACGGTAGCTTTGGTCAACTGCTTGATGGCAACCTCATAAGAGACTCTAAGCCAGAAGCACCCAGCTGAGTTGCATCCAAACTCCTCTCTCATGGAAATTGTGATAAGCCACTAAATTTGGCTAATTTGCTATGCAGCAAAAGATAACTGATATACTACATACACTCTACTGTCTACTCCTAGTCCCTAATAAAGGCGGGCTTCTGGTATACCTAGTTTGGGCATGCTGGTATCAGAGCTTCTATCTGGTGATTGAGCACTGCCTGGAAACTTTTGTGACTGGGATTCCAACCGCCTTGACACCTCACTTCTTGAGGGAACGAACTCGGTTACCTATAGTCCCATTCCACTGATTAGACCACTCATAGAATGAGTCCAGTCCGGCTGCAGCACAGACCACTGTATGGCCTGCTCCCTCCTGCTTCTGGGCCACCCTTGGGCACACCAACACTATAAAGTACAGTCCCTCTACTAATTGAGGCAGAGAGCTCAGATGACAGCTATCTAGATGACGACAATCACAGATGTCCACAGAAAGACCTATGTAGATAATATATTCCTGATTTCCATATGTAACTCTAACTGATTATATGACATGCCTTGAAAACTAATTGTGAAACTTGCTGTATACACTGTCCAGGTGGGAACAAGTGGAAAAATATACATTGCTTGGGAACATTGAGTTTTTGGCAGAGAATTTTTGGCAGTTTATATAACCATGTTGATTTGAAGGCAGTGGTTTTATATGTAAAAAAAGATTTTAAGACCTTGTAAAGATGTTAAATATTTACATAAAAAATTATGCTCAGCTAAGAAAAGAGCAAAATATAAAACCCAAGTGTGCCTTCTATGAGTTGTTCTCTACTTATTTCTTGTGTTTTTTTAGTAGTTTTTAGACTCACTTTGTAGTTAGTGATTAAGCACCCACTGAAAACAAAATGCTATATATGAAAATGATAGTAGTATATCACAACCACAAAAAAAAGGTGGGGGGAGGGAGAGAGAAAGAGGACTCTGTACCTCTGTCCCTGATGATTTTGTCCCTCATGCTCTGGGCTGCATGTATCGATATTTGGAGGACTTATGTGGGAGGATGTCCTTAGAGCCACCGCCGAGATGCCCACCAATGGGGATGAGAAATTCAGCAGCACTGAGGTGGTCTGGTGGGAAAGGACATTCAGGTGATGGGTCACATTGATAACCAGTGGGTTTTGCTGGCACGACAGCTCATGGGTCCCTGAAGAGAAATAAGGAGATGAATAATACTGTGAGCCATTCATATAGCACCATGTTCCCATATCTAGTATTCCTTTTATCTTCTCAATAGCTGTGTCCTATAGTCAAGGTCGAAAACAATATTCAAGACGGACGCCAAGCGGACTCCGAGGTTTACTGGATCATCCTGCAGGGGCCCCGAAGCGATCACTGTCAGACTCACCAAGAGAGTGGTTGTTCCCACTGACATCAGTCAGGTGAACAGTCACTGTGGGCCGCTGATGTTCTCTGAGTACTGGGCCATCAGACGCCAAGAAGATGAAAATTGCCGAGGCCATTCCTGGTCTACTGAAACACACCTGGGTGTAAGCACATATATGTGTGAGTCATCATTCCCACTGGGCTCTCAAGGCATGTGTCACACTGTTTTTACACTTCTCAGTTCCCCACTTTTAAAGTAGGAACTCCCTTCTCCTTTACTTATGAGAAAAATATGGAGTAGGCACAGAAGGACAGCCGAGGTCACACCAGAAATCAAAATTGGATGAAAAAAGGTAACTTTCAGCTACTGAGCATCTCATCTTTTTTTGATATATTTTTTTTTATAACCTCAACTGTTCCTTTTTTTGCTTGGACCCATGTCTTTAAATTTCTCAAGATCACTGAAAGAGAGGATTGCTAGAGACAATAAATCACTGCATAGCCAGTCAATCTTATCTCCAAAGTAGAAGAAGTGGGCAGGAGTCACCAAGCTAACATTCTGCTGTGAACCGGCATAGTTCAGAACATAGTTCATCTTTCCCCATCCTCCTGTCTTCCCCCTAAACATTTTATCTGAACCTCTCACTTAGCATGCAGACTACAACATGAGAGGCAACTTCGGTGTCCATTGTTTCTGAAACTAGAAGCTTCCCCACTGTTTATTCTCATGCATTTCTGCTGGTGCCTACCCTAACCATGGGTGAAAAATAAGCCAACACTCAGGGACAGGAAATTCAGTTATTTATAAGGAATAATCCTAGATGCTTAGGCTGATTAACAAGTAGTCTTTCAAAGCAAACTATGGGATTTTTTGTTTTTTTTTAAAGATTTTATTTATTTATTTGACAGAGAGAGAGAGATCACAAGTAGGCAGAGAGGCAGGCAGAGAGAGGGGGAAGCAGGCTCACTGCTGAGCAGAGAGCCCGATGCGGGGCTCGATCCCAGGACCCTGAGCCGAAGGCAGAGGCTTAACCCACTGAGCCACCCAGGCGCCCCAAACTATGGGAGTTTTGTCCCTGGAAAATCTTTAATACAAAAGAAGACATCTTCAAGATTGGGAAATGACCTGGAGAGCTTATTTCCCACACTGAAATTATTTGATGTAGTAATTCTAGTTTTGCTTTACGTGCTTTAGCTCAATATTACTCTTCATTTCCACTGAGAGTAAATCTCTATGTTACCTGATATTACATGGTGGCTACATTATGAGATTCTGGAACTGAACCTCACAAAATTCTCTGTGCCTTTCTGTGGCTTTTTATCTGGTTCTGAGGGTGATAACGCTCCAGGAAAACTATCCTCAGGGTTAAAGAAGGGTATATCTAGTGGCAGGGACCTTTTCTAAAACTGGGGAGGACAAGGATAAAACATGTTTTCCATTTTACCAAGAATTCTTCCTTGTGTGGAGGCTGATTTTTCCTAAATCTTGGTGGTGTGTTTATGGAGTGTCCATTTGCACTGCTGGCTTAATTAGGGTGATTTTATGAGTTGCAGTGGTCAATGCAACACAGCTCTCCCTTCTTCCTCTCCTCCTTTGAGGGAAAGACCAGCCACACTCTCTTTTTACAGTGTCTTTTCCCCCCTTGTTTCATTTCCCCTCTTTGAAGTAATAAATATTCCTGTATAACTTAAGAAATAGCCAGTCTCATAGGTTATGGCTTGCAATACGAGGTCCTTTGTCCCTGACTGGATGAGGGCTAGACATGAAACATACCATAAGGTAACCAAGAGTCTAACTCAAGCCCTCAACTGCAGCAGCAAAGGATATCAAAGTCCCTTGGGACCAAAGAGGTCCCACAACCTCTTCCTTTTCCTATACCACAAAAGAGACTTGAGTACTGAAAGAAAGTTCTGGGTTGTTTCCTGAGGCAGGAACAGGAGTCCAAACAAGTACATGGTGGCTTTACCCCAGTAGGCCTCAGACTTGAAGAGTGGGGTGGGTTCAACAGGGAACAGGAACGCTCAGTCTTCCCACCTTCTCTTGGGCCCCCAAATGGACACCATCTACCTGAAACTAATTAGGAGGGGTTGGTCTTATGATGGTGTGGATTTCTCTGTCCTGAGGGCCTGTGCCCCAAAACTCCAGCGCATTTTGCATCTCCTGGCAACGTGCCTCCTTGCTCTAAGGGTCTTTGAACCAAATCCCTTTGAACCTTACAGCCTGCTCCCAGTGGCAGCGTCTCTGTGCCATGATCTGTGGGAAAGGCTAGGCCAGGATTTCTAGGCCATGACTTAAGCAGGAAACCACAGGTAAGACTCACAAAAGAAGAACAGGCCCAGGAATGTTGGGCTACACAAAGCAAAAGGAGAAAAGGGTTTGGTCAAGGTACAGGATGCTGAGTCTGTGGCATTTCCTCTCACAGTGACACAGATGTAACCGAATGTGGTTCTCAGCTAAATACCAGATATGCCCACAACAGCAACCAGATGCAAAGAACATATGAACTCTCATCTGACTTTTGGAGCCTCTAAAGCAGAGACTAGATTGAACCCACACATGTGTGCATAGGCCTTCTGAGCCAGGGTGAAAAGAACCAAGTATGTTCACTGTTCTGGAGAAAGGGTTGGCCAGGCGGAAACCTCAATGTGACTCTTAGCTCCATCCCTACTAACTGGTTAAAGCAGAGCAATCCATCCTTCCCCTCTGAGCCTAGGGTCCTTCTTTTGCACATCTGAAATGCAGACTACTACCTACTTCATGAAGCTATGATGAGGATTAAATGAAATCATGTGAAAGCTGTCCTATAGGACAGTGCCCATCATCTAGTAAGAACTCAACGCTCAGAAATTAATTCACAAAATAATTCCTATTTCCAAAGAGAAATATTTTTTCCATTTCATTTACACTTCTGGAAGACAAGGATAAAGAATAAAATTTAAAAATGAAACACAAACTGTATATTTTGGTGTCTAGAGAATTATGCTTTTCTAAAACCTGTAGGCTAAAGAATTTCACCTATGCTATTTTAAATCAGCATTTATAGAAATCTGAATTGGTAAACCAGGTTCTACTTCTAGAGCCATTGGCAATATCCAGGCTTTTGGTATAGAATCTAGCTCTAGTTTATTAATGGAATCTATGAAAAATATATTTTATATACACAACTCTTTTAATAGATTTTTTAGAAAATTCAGTTCAATATGTGTTTATCAAAAAAACCTACTTTTGCTATACATATATAGACAAAAAAAACTTCTCAACTTGACAGTATAATTAGAATGCTGAGTGTATTCCTTATTTAAACAAAGGTGATTATTTTTATTGAGGTATAATTAACATAGAGTGTTATATTAGTTTCCAGTGTACAACTGGATTTTATAATTCTATGCATTAGTCAGGGCTCAGCACGATAAGTATAGTCACTGTCTGTCACCAGACAACATTTCAACAATCTTACTGACTATAACCCCTATGCTGTACCTTTCATCTCTGTGACTTACTTTGTAACTGGAAGTTTGTCCCTCTTACTTTATTTCTTTATCCACTTCACCCATCTCCTCACTCACCTCCTCTCTGGCAACCATCGGTTTGTTCTTTGTATTTAAGAGTCTGGCTTTTTAGTCTGTCTCTTTTTTTTTTCTTTGTTTGTTCATTGGTTTTGTTTCTTATTTTCCACATATGGTGTTTGTCTTTCTCTGACTGGCTTATCTCACTTAGCATTAAACCCTCCAGCTCCATCCATGTTGTTGCAAATGGCAAGCTTTCATTCTTTATTATGACTGAGTAATATTCCATTGTATATCTCTAAATCAATCAATCAATCATCTCTCACATCTTCTTTATCCATTCATTTATTGATGGACACTTGGGTTGCTTCCATGTCTTGGCTACTATAAATAACGCTGCTGTAAACATAGGGGTGCATATATTTTTTGCATTAGTGTTTTCATTTCCTTTGGGTAAATACCCAGCAGTGGAATTACTGGATTGTATGAGGTTCCTATTTTTAATTTTGAGGAACCTCCATACTGTTTTCCACAGTGTCTGCATCAATTTGCATTCCCACCAACAGTACACGAAGTTTCCTTTTTCTCCACATCCTCACCAACACTTGTTCTTTCTTGTCTTTTTGAATCTAGTCATTCTAACAGGTGTGAGGTGATACCTCATTGTGGTTTTGATTTGCCTTTCCCTGATGATGAGTGACATTGAGCATCAAAGATGTATCTTTAAAAGTTTCTCTCCCACAGCTAAATCACAGATATGTTAACATAATATTATAGCCCACACTATTTTCACTATATACAAAACATACAATGAACTTTAAGTTCCTGGATGTAAAAGATAATTATCCACTGGAATGGAGACTTTAGCAACATGAAGTGCTACTTATTTGACCCCATGCCACTTTTGCCAGTACAGTGTGACATTTCTCTCATCAACACCCCAAATGCATTGTGTGAATAGCTTCCCCTTCAGGAAAAGAGCATCAAATGCACCCCCTGAGGAACTACTCAGATCTGAAATGAGCAGCAGCCATCCCTCAAGAGAAAAATCCAAGATACTTAGAGGTCAAAGGGGTCATTAGCTTCATGTGTTTATTATTTGTTTTAACAAGAAGATTACATTCATGTGTTACACTAGCAATACAAAATTAATTAGAACTTGGCTCTTATGAAGAAAAACTATAGCTAGATGTTAGAAGGAGACAAAATCTTTCAGAAGAGCAAGTATTTCTCAGGACTGAGGAATGATCTCAAGATAGAGGATCCAGTGAAATTAGACAGTGAACCTATTGCAAAATACTCTGAAACAGAGAAACACAGATTGGAGAAATAGGTAGACAGACAGACAGATAGATAGATACTGACTGATGTACAGATGTGGAAAACAAGTCCACCACACAAAATGGCTTTTTTTGTCTAAAGCCTGAACATTAACTACTGGATGGAACGTCTGGCTACTGGTGAGGGGTAAGAGTGAAAGAATGATTCCCTCGTGAAGAACTGTTTGGGCTTAAGAAATCCCTCTTCAATCTGTCTACTGGGTACAGACAAACTCACTCAATATACTCCCAAGCCAAGTATTTCAACTTCCAGGTCATCCTTTCTGGTGGTCACTGGATAACAGATCCTGAAACTATACCACAAACTTGAA